CAACTGATTTCTGTACATTGATTTTGTATCCTGCCACATTACTGAATTGCTGTATGAGTTCTAGTAATTTGGGGGTGGAGTCTTTTGGGTTTTCCTTATTTATTGGAGTTATATATTAAGAATTCTGGGGCAACCACTAAAAATTTAAAATGGAGATAAGACTAAGCCAAGTAGTGAAGAAAGAGGGAATCGTAAAAAATCCTCAGTCCAAAAGCATAAAAAAAGAGGGATAAAAGAACAAAGAATAGGTGGAACATATAGAAAACAGCTAGCAAAATGGTAGGTTTTAATCTAAACATCAATTATGTTAAGTGTAAGCAGTCTAAATATATCAGTTAAAAAACTGAGATTATTCAGATTTTATATAAAAAAAGATCCAACTGAATGCTACCTTTAAGAAACCCACTTTTAATATAAAGGTAGATAAATGATTGGTTAAAGGTAAAAGAATAGGAATAGCACACCATGGAAATATGAATTCAAAGAAGGCCAGAGTGGCTATATTAATATTAGACAAAGTAGATTTCAGAACGATGAATATTACCTGTGATAAAGACAGATTTTACATTATGGTGGAGGGGTCAGTCACAAAAACATAATAATTCTAAATATGTATGAACATAACAGAGCTTCTATATATATATATAACAAAGAAGAAATAGCTAAATCTATATTTATAGCTGGAAACCACAACACTCATCTCTCAGTAGTTCATAGAACAAGTGAAGACAAAATCAGTAAGGATAGAAGACTTTAATAACACTACTAACTAACTTGACCTGATTAAGAGTGGACCACCCCACTGCACACCAGCAGAATATACCTTTTTTCATGTGTACATGGAGCATTCAGTTAGGCCATAGTTGTTATCATATAACAAATACAAAAGAATCAAAATGATGTATAATACGGTCTCTGACTAAAAGAAATAAACTAGAAATCACTAATAGATACGTGGAAAATTTCAAATATTTGATAATTGTTCAACACATACATGGGGTGGGTGGTGGAGGTTGTCAACCTGAATGTCATCTGAAATCATAGAGGGTGAAGATTTGGAGGGAGGACTTCTACTGGGGCTAAAAAAGATAAGTGGTGTCCTTGATTATGTTCTCTTTTGGGGGCAAAGTTACCAACGTATGGATAATTTTTTTTTTTTAAAGATTTTTTATTTATTTATTTGGGAGAGAGAGAGAGTGAGAGAGAGAGAGAGAGCACATGAGAGGGGGGAGGGTCAGAGGGAGAAGCAGACTCCCTGCTGAGCAGGGAGCCCGAT